AAAATAAGTATAAAAAATGCAGAGGAATTAAATTTAACTATGAGTGTGAAATCCCCTAACATACATGCCAGTACTATTGAGAGTTCCCTCGCGATTAATATAAAATTTTCTAGTGAATAAGGGTACTTATCCTAAAAAGGCCTTGAAGAAGACTATTCAATCAATTAAATAAATTGTTACACAAAAAGTACCATAGAATGATTAAAAACTGGATACTAAATAAAAATCCTATAAATAAACCTGGTTACTTATGAAATGATAACATTAAAAGTGCTCTAAAGGAATAAAGAAAATAAATAAAGAAAAATGCCAGCACGTAAAGCGAATGGCGCAATAATAATATTCTAAAAATCACTAAAACGAATGCACATCGCTAAGCAATGAAAATGCATTAAAAATGGACCGTCAACATAGTTTAAATTGATTTCATTAGATATATAAAATATAGCGCTAGCTCATAAAGATAAGAAAATATTAAAAATATTGAAATCCTTGTCTTGCTCAAAAATGTATTAAAATACTATTGACTCTAAGACAGCATCATTTATTAATTTCTAGTAAAGTCAAATGACACATGACCAAAATAAATTCACCATCGACTTCAATTTGGATCAAACTTCGAAACGTTTCATTAGGCTGATTGCCACAGCTTGAATTGATCCTTGAATGTACTGTTCGTGTTCATCGGTACCGCAATGAAACTTGTTGATCTACCTATTCAGCCCGTTTACATCAATTTCTTACCTACTTTCTGCAATATTCGCCACTTTACTTAATTGTCTACGTAAGAAGCGTGCAATGCTATTGTTAAAAGTAAATCCCAAATGTACTCCTTTCTCATGCATATTTGGAAGACCATAGGTCGACGAGGTCACTGCATCTCCTCGAAATTTGTGAAATCATTTTTCACTCTTACATTGCTCCCTTGTTTATACACATTTTGTATGCTGCCCTTAGTCAGGTCGTAAGACCTTCAGTGCGATCCTTCGACGACAGTTTGTACAATTCCGTGTCACTTAAATGCATCATCATCGTTTTCTGGTGAAATTGGCTTGTCGCAACAACCACTTCCCCACCCTACTCTACTTGTATGTGTAAATATATATAAGTATTTTTTGTTTGAGTTATCACATTTTTAAATGGCATTTGCGTTCAGTAAAGCTAATATACGAATACTTTCCAGCCGAAGCTTCAGTTCAACGCCTGTCTCCATTAACAATTGATTCCTTGGCTTATTTGTTAATTAATTATATAATTAAGCGAGCGACTGAATAATTTTACTATTAACACTTTGCTACTTAAGTAGTGTGAAATAAATCATTAAAAAGTGACCGTCCACACCGACTGGGCCATTTCGCAAATGAAACAACCTGACTACTGATAAACTACTCATTTTGCCTTTTGGAGTATTGGATGTCTCTGATGATGCCCACCTTTGACCTTTGACCTTTTACCTTTGACCTGCCTTCTGCAGCCTGTGGAGCCGGCGGCGGCCGAGCGACCGCAGCCGGGCCAGCGGCATTGGCTCGTGCTCGGCAGCCAATTCCTGCGACACGTCGTGCAACACATTCCAGACGCGAATGGCGAGACGCCCAACACGCACGACGGCGCAGCGACTCGTAGCTGCCGCCTCGAGACGGTCACCGAGACTCTGTTGACCGAGATTGAGACGATCGAGACGGCGCGTCTCGAGGCGCCGCACGACGCGTCAGTCGGGCCGGTCGAGACGCGGCACGAAGCAGCGCCTCTTTTGCAGAACTTGGCGCTTGGCGTCGGGCAGATGCGCCATCGCGCAGCCCGAGCCGACACCTCCAACGTGGTCGTCTTGACGATGGGCTCGAGAAATAGGCACACCTTCTTGACGGACATGGTGAGTGATTGGTCTCGAGAATGGTGGACGATGTTGATGTCACTCGATTGCCCATTTTATTCACTCAAACACCCTCACGAGATCGTCTTTAGCG